CCAGCAGAGGGAGGCAATAACTTACGAGGCTCCCGGGTTTGAAGTTATCGCGAGCGAGGCGGGCAGTATGTGTGTGGCACAAGAGTGGTGAACTGGGTGGCGGGGATGAATCCGAAGGCAAAGAAATGTATTTTGAAACCTAGAAACCGAACTAGAATTTGTAAATTAGAACAGTGGAAGGAGATAAATTATTATGATGTCTCCTGTCTGGGTTTATAAAGCATCTAGGGTTACTTTGCGTGGTTGATATTTTTAATAGGTGCTGGGTCATGTGTTTAGATTTGAGGAATGCTGGATTGGCTATGGCGAGACTGATACAAGCAGGAATACTTAGTTAAGATAGGATTGAAAATAGCAGGGAGGGAGAGAAAAAGATCTTAAAGAATAACGGAAGACAGGAAGACAGAGAACGTGTCCAGAAAGTAGAAGAGAAAGGGGATAAGGAGCCAGTTATTAGGGCGAAAAAAGAAAACAAGAGACACGGTAGAGAAGTTAAGGAAGAAAAAGAGAATAGATGAAAAACACAAACGGTCGGAAACCAACAAGGTATCTAGGTATCTTCGACCTAGATCTCCAAGCCTCCTTATGGCGTTGATTGAAGTTTACCTACCGTACGTACTGTTCTGTGTACCCTGGATTTCGAGGAGGAAAGATTTCTCTCATCGGCTTCTCTCATTGAATCATTTTACGTGCCTTCAAAGGCTGGATAGGAAGAAGTATATCACACAGAAAGGTTATTTTGGTGCCAGTGGGCCTCTTCGCACGAAGGGGCAAGATACTTCCTCTTTGCATTTTCGTCCAGACATTGGCCACCACTTTCAATGTCATATAGTTACCGTTGAATTCTGAGTTGAATGACAAAAACAACAGAGATGAAGAACAATCTATTCTTGCCCCGTGAAGTTACCGACCCTAAGCTTGCACCGCCTTCGTCAGTCGTAATTTAAGCTGTCAAGGATAAGATTGGCGGAGAAATCGGCTGGGGCTCGGCCAGAGAAGGAAGAATGACTTATCGATGAGTTGGGTATCGAATAGCAAAGGGCCAAAGAATAACATTTTCCAATGAACATACCGATGACCCTCGGCTCCTGCCCCTGCGTAATAGCGGCCCCTGTCCGCTGGTAGAAAGAGAAAGGCGTAGTCCGTTCGACCACATCATCTCAACTTTTAAGCCAGGCATGAATTTCTAGTTGGCTTGGAATGGTTCTTGAGTTTGCAAGAAGGCAGTGCTGGTCAAACTCCTAACCTGGTTGGCTTGCTCGACTTAGTAACACCGCGAATATCTCTAGAAGAAAAAGGGTTGGAGGGGTAGGAGGTATGGCATTGGGAAACGGGCGCGATGGGGCTTCGCTAGAGTTAAGCTGCGGTATTTCCTTCGTTCAAGACTAAGTGAACATACCGATGCAGTCGGGTATTCGACAAACTCGTGGAATTACGGAGGTGAGATTGAAAGTAAGGTACCCATGTACCGGAACAAGCCAACCCCTGAATTTCGGGATTTCTACCCATGCCCGTGGTCCACTTTTTAGAATCTCCCTTGAGACAAAGCAGATCATCTCAGTCACCGTCTCAGCCGGCCTCTCATAAGCATCATCTCGCCATGCCATAACAATGTTCAACTACCTCCTCGCCCTCATCCCAATCCTCCTCTTCTTCGCCAACCCCATCTCCCAGTTATTTGCACCCTCCACACCCCGGATCCACCGCCTTCCACGTCCACAACTAAACGAAGACCTCCTGGCTCTCGAGGAACCTTCCAACTACACGTGCCCTCCCCACCCCTACATAGTCCATGTCGTCTCCCGCGCGCCCCTGGTCCTCTACATTGAAGACTTTCTCAGCTTGGAAGAACGTCGGCATTTACTAGAGATAAGGTCCGCCCCCCCGTTTCTATTTTACTAGCTTACACCCATTCCGTTTCCACACCCATTTTCCCCTCTCAAACTCACCTCCCCTCGTTCTCCCTCTCTCTCACCACCACCATCAAACTAACCAACCCCCCCTCCCCTTTTCACCACCAACAGCACCCCCCTCTACACCCCTTCCACCATCACCCACAACGCCGGCCAATCCCTCTCGCACACCCCCTCCGTGCGCGACTCCGAGGTCGCGCTCGTGCCGCGGACCGACGCCGTGCGGTGCATCGAGGAGCGGGCGCGCGCGGTGCAGGGGTGGCGGCGCGAGGCGTGGATCGAGCGGCTGCGGGTGCAGCGCTACGGGGTCGGCGGGCATTATGCGCACCATTTTGATTGGAGTTCGGGGAGGGGCGGCTGGGGGCGGGTGAGTAGTTTTATGGTTTGGGTGATGATGGAAGGGGATGGGATTGGGAGGGAGAGGGAGAGGCTGGTGGGGGGAGGGACCGAGTTTCCTTTGCTGAGGCGTGGGGGGGGATGAGCGGTGGTGTCGGTTTGTGGAGTGCGCTTCTGGGGAGGAGCATCGGGGGGGGAAGGGCGGAGAGGATGATGGGAAGAAGGGGGTGGTGTTCAGGGTTGCGCCGGGGAACGCGGTGTATTGGGAGAACTTCATGGCGGATGGGAGCGGGAGAGGCTATGAAGAGACCTGGCATGCGGGTCTGCCCGTGATAAAGGGGGTCAAGGTCGGATTGAATATCTGGACTTGGGGCAGGATTGAGTAAACAATGGTCAAAGTCAACACGGTGGTTTTCGGGTTCCTGGAACTTCCGTCGGGGTTGAGAATACCCGGCTAGACCATTATTATTTGGATTATATTTTTAGAATAGCAAGCGAAATATTGTCTGCGAACTCAGCCGGGGAGAGTGACGAACGAAAACAAACGCAACCGTGGCGTTTAGCTAAGACGATGATTTCGCGGGACATGAAACAACATCGCGGTCGTACGCGGCTGTGGAACTTCAGGGCTGACTGTGTAATTAGGTGACGCACTCAGCTTGGCGATCGCTAAAGCGTTTGAGGGTTGCAGGGCTCTGTGCTCACAAGACCATCTCTGGTCGCATTTGGCAGTTACGAATTGAGTCACGACGGCCCAGTACGGGAATTTTAGGATGCAACGAGTTCAGCAGGTGCAGCCACTCTGCCAGCGTCCCCCAGTTAGGTCGTTCCTGTTTTGCCCAGAGTGGACTTCGTCATGCTCATTTCCAGGCCTGGTAGGATGAGTCACCAGGCCTTCTCCAGTCGTTTGCTTGTCTTTGGCCGTTTCGGGCTTTGATACTGAGCGACTTGGCCGGTTTTAAGCAATTGTTGAAGAATTCGAGTTTTGTCAGGGGCCTGTTGCGCAAAAAACGGCCTTTGGATGTTTGGCCCTGCGAGACCTCCCCGGCCTTTTCCAGGCAGTTTTATGATGTTTTATGGCTGAGGAGGGCTGTCCGCTGGTCTGGTGTCGGCGCCGGAAAAAGGTAGTGACTTAACTGATTTTTGGCTCGGCTTACGGAGCAAAAACCATCCGCCTAACAACCCCGAGAGCCCACCGGCCGAATCCGGGATATGCGTGCCGCAGCCCTGTCATTCAGGCAGACGGCCGGCCAAGGGGGTGACGAATATGGAGCGGGAAGGTTCCAAGGACAGCTGGACCTGTCGACGCCTTACGGGAAAGGTATACATGGGATTGGGAGCCCGGAGCCGCAACTCGAATGTGCCCGAAGTCTTTTGATTCTCAGTCATCGCCGCCCTTCGGCATCCATCTCGGACTTGGCAACATCCGCAGCATGTCACCGTCCTCCCCCGAAGATGGCCCGTCTGAACCATCTGGTGCCCCCTCGGCCTCCACCACCACCTCCCACGAGCCGTTGGCTTGTGTAAGTTGCCGCAGTCGCAAACTCAAGTGTGAGATATTCCGCCCCTGGTCGACTTGCCGTCGAATTTCTACTTGCAACTGCTGACTGTACATCCGCTACCCCCTACCCAGGCGACCGCCATAAACCAGTCTGCGCCAGGTGCGCCAAAACTGGCGGCGAATGTGTGTACCCCGAATCCCGGAGGAAGCCGGCGTTTAAGGGAAGGATCGTGACAGAGGTAGCCCGCCCGCATGGCAGCGGCCGTTGCTTGTCATTTATGGCGCCGTAATTACCCCCTTTAAGCCGGTAGTACGGATATCGTGTATTGACCCAACCCAGCCCAGGTGGAGGGCCTGCTTCGAACCGTCGGTAGACAACGAGTTTCGCAGCCGGCTCGTTCTGATGGCCCCTGGACAGAGGGCTCGTCACCTATTGCGCCCGGGGGCGAACCCTCCCAACCTGAGAGACCGCCGCGAGATAGCCCCCGTGGTAGGGAGACCTCTTGGAAGCCGTCGTCGCCAGCTGGAAACCCCTCGGACGGAGACAATGCCTCGCCCGGCGAGTTATTGTCACTTGGCCAGTTCGAGAGTTTGCCCCCTTTCGAGATGATCGAGGAACTGTATGTACAAGCCGTGACCCCAACACAACCCCCCCCCCCCCGGGGTCCCCAGACGACTAACGGCGACCATGTAGTCATACCATTTTCTTTGCGACCCAGCAGCATTTCCTGCCCATCATACACCCGAGCAACTACCTGCGGGCTTTTCACTCCCCGCCCCATATGCGCCCACCCTTGTCTCTTCAGTACGCCATCTGGACCACGGCTTCAAACGGACACCCCAAATATGGGTGTTACCACGATGCCCTCTATCGTCGCGCTCGCCAGTACTTGGAATCCGACGAGCTCAAGGTTGGTAAAGACCGTAAATCTTGGGCGCCCTTCATTTGTTTTAATCTCGATTCAGGGACACGGGGAGCACTTCATAACCATCGCCCATGCTCAGGCTTGGGCGCTGGTCGCGACTGACGAAGCGCGTTGTTTGATGTTCACCAAGGCATCCATGAGCTGTGCCAAATCGGTTCGGTTGGCCGGCATGATGGGGCTTCACCGGCTCGACGACACCCACCCCGACGATGTGCTTCCCATGGCTCCCATGATCGCCCCGGCCCGAAACTGGGCTGAACTTGAGGAGCGCCGGCGTCTGTTTTGGGGTGGGTTTTGTATCGACAGCTACGCAAGCATCAGCGCAGGGTGGCCCACCCTAATCGATGTCGAACAGGCAAGACGCTCTCGGGAATACATCACATGCTAATCGTGCTGTAACTAATCGTCGCCAGATTACCACGCATTTGCCCGCGTCGGATGATGCATTCCACACCGGCATCGAGGAAAAGAGCTTCACGCTCCGGGACGCATTCCGCGGATCGAGCTATTCGATATTTGCGGGGAACGTGATTATCTGCCATGTCTTCACCCGACTCTTGAAGCATGCCCACCGACCGCTGCCCGACGATTGCCCACAAGACCCAGAATTCGGCCGCTTCTGGAAGCGTCACAGGGAGCTTGACAATATGTTGTCCGATGGCTTCCTGTTCTTGCCCGAGCCTTTTCGCCTTCCACGGAACGTCCACAACCCCACCGCCGTGCAGGCCAACCTGAACTTGCATGCCGCCGTCATCTGCCTCCATATTGCCGCGCGCGAGAAGGCTGACCAGTTCAAGCTGGCAGGCATACGACAGGCCAGCCGGACCAGGGCGCTCACGGCCGCACAAGAGATCATCGACATCCTCAGGGCGTCCAAGGATGTGACGATGGGCTACAGGGGGCCTTTGATGGCCCTCTCCCTCTACTTCGCCGCTTCCGTGTACATCGCACAGGCAAAAGACAACCTAGAGGACTGCAACACGGCCAACCTGGAGTACATTGTTGAGTGTATGAACTCCACGGCACGGCACCATGCCATTACCCAGGCCTACCTGCGGCAACTCTTGCTCGATATCGAACGGAACGGCATCCCCGTCTCGGTGGACCACATCCGTAACAATCATGCCGACAGAAACTGCAATCCAGGCGTTCCCCTCATCGCTCAAATGCGCCACACCCAAGTGCAGTCACCACTCCCGGGACGCCTTCCCCTAGACGCGCCGGTGGGCACCATTTTAAAGCCCGACACCGCCTCATTCAACCCATGCGCCCCCCCAAATTTCACTCAGTCGTATTACGCATCCGACGACCTCGAAGGCCCCGCCAGCAAGCGGATGCGAACCTCGGCCGGGCCAGCACAGGTCTCTGCATCAGCATGCTCACGATCTGGTCGGCGCAGGTGTCGACCCTCTCGTGACTCAGCACCTGACCTGTTCGAATACACCGGCGGTGGCTGGTCGTACACCACCAAGTATATGACCAACCCCGGTCACCACCCTCCCCCACCGCATCGCGGCGCCCGTCATGGACCCCATCTACTCGGGCTTCGGCATGCCCAGCCCCAACACCACTCCCACCCCCTCATTCCCGCACCTCTCCCCCGGAAGCCATGGCCGCCGCCGCCACCTTCGGCTTCGACATCGACGACACCGCCACCACCACCTCCCCCACCGCCACCACTACCACCACCACCACTGCCACCGCCAACCACTCCCAACACGACGTACCCGACCTGGGCGACCTCGGCGATCTCAACGACCTGGGCATCTTTGATCTCGACCAGCCGTGGTCGGTCACCGAGTCGCTGTACGCGCTGCTGGACATGTCGGCCGTCGGCGACGACCTCGCTGACCCCTCCGCCGCGGGCCCGTCACAGGCCGGTAGCAGCAGCAGCGGTGGCGGCGGCGGCGGCGGCGGCGGTGGTGGTATGAACCCCTGGTTGAATAATGCTGGCGCTGGTGCTGGCGGGGGTAGTAGTTCTGGAGGTGGTGGTGGTGGGGCGTGGGATACCGGCGGGGAGTGGGGGGCCGGCGGCCGGGGACTGGTTTGATCCAGTCTCTCTCTCCCTGAGAGTTTTCGATTTTCAATTCTGGTTCTTTTGGGTGTTTTGGGGTACTAATGAGATAATGACCTCTCCTCTTCCACCCACCCCCTACTTACCTACTGTATTGCATTGAACTGGTACTGTATGATTTTGTGGTTTGGTTTGTACAAACATCATCAACATCAACATCAACATCAGGGGGCGTTTTGGGATTGTATTGATTGGATGGGGAGAAATACCACGGGGATTTCATTGCATTGGAACGGTTTCACCTCATGTTCGGTTTGGCTTGGCTTGGGTTTGGTTTGGGTTTGGTCTGGTTGGTTTGGCAATCGGCCAACAATGGGGCTGTATATTATCTAAACTCCCAACCCTCCTCAGTAGATGATGAGATCTCCCATCTAATATTATGGTCAAGACCAGCGGACTAATAGACACACAACGGAGTTGATCCGGGATACATGTACAGGGGCTTTTTGTCTATCTCCTTGCGTTTCGTCTCGTTCTCTCGTTCTTCGGATCAAGGTCGGGTCGTGCGCGTTTCGATGATCAGGTGGTAGGATGGGATCCGTCTCCCCTACCGATTCGTGGGTCAGGCTCCGTGCCTCGTCTGCTGCACAGCAGCTTAGAAAGCGAACACCTGGTCCTCCAGCTTGCTGACGGGCCGGGCCTTCTGGAACCCGAGGCTCTCGGCGGCCTTCTTCAGCCCGCCCACCATGGGTGGCGGGCCGCACAGAAGGATCTTGACGTCATCGGCAGCCTTGGGAAGCCATTTCTGTGCGACAATCTCGTTAGCAACGCGCTTCCCCAAAGTGGTAACAAAATAGATAGCCCTGAGAAACGTGCCTGGAACATCTCGGCGGTGACGTAGCCCACGCCACCCTCCCATCCCGCGGGCGGCTTGTCCAGCACGTAGTGCACGCGGAAGCCCTTGTCCTCGCGGGCGAGTTGGTCGAGGTCCTCGCGCAGGAGGATGTCCTGCTCGGTGACGTTGGCAAAGATGAGGTCGACCTGGGTGCGGTCGCCGGTGGCGCGGCCGCGGATGATGGCCTTGACAACCTGCAGCATAGGGGTAATACCCGTACCGCCGGCGACCATACCGAAGTGGCGAACCATGTTGGGTGTGTACACGAAAGCGCCCTTGGGCCCCCGGACCTTGATCGTCTGTCCCACCTGCAGCGACGCCATATGCCGGCTGATGTTGCCCTGCGGGTACGACTTGATCAGAACGTCGAAGTATCCCGGCTGGTGGTCGCCTGAGATGGGCGTATACGACCGAACGATCTCCTTGGTCGTGCCGTCGGGCTGGCCCAGCGTCGCGCCGATCGAGATGTGTTGGCCGATGGGGAGGCCGAGGATGGCGGTCGGGGACGGGAGAGAGAAGCGGTAGCTGTGGTAGATTGGTGTTAGTGTGTTGAAATGCGGTGTGGTTAGGAACCAGGAAAGGCCACGTACATAGCGACATTGTGTGAGATGATGGTCTTTTCCTTGAGCTCAAACTCTTGGAAAGCATCCGGCTTAAGGACAGCCTTGGGGACTGCATCGAGTTAGCTGTCTGGGTGTTCAAGGTTGCTTCATAGGGAAAGGGAATCGCACGGTTGTTGTAGAACTTGATGCCGCCCAAGACGATCCCTAGCAGCAACGCGTAGGCGGTCCACTCGCGCTTAACGATGGCAGTGCCGACAACGAGCAGACCGAGGGGGATGTAGATGCCATCGACATACTTGCGCGCAAGCAATGAATCGGACATTTTGCTTGTCAATGCTGCTCGAGCTCTCTTGTGGCGGTCCGGGGTGGAAACTGTGGTTGCGCGAGAGCTGGTTCGAACGTAGCAGACGGGTCCGCGAAGCTGGGGCTTCTCAATTGATAAAGGAGTTCAAGAAACTTTGTCGGACTGGGGTCCGTGGAAACGAGCTAGGGTGGCACGGTGTGCACGGTGGGCCGATTTTGCTGCGGGTGCCGGCTGCTCCCAATGCGAGTGGGGACCGGGGCCCCAATGTTTTTGGCGGAATGGTTCAACAATTTGGCACCCGTGAAGCATGAACCGGGAGCAACCGCACAGGGCAACCGCCGAACACAACACTCCGATGTCCGGCAGTTGGGCCCCTCCCCATGCATGTCGGACTTCCACCAATCTTTAATTGACCGAGAATGCACTTGACACATCCGAACCTTCTTTTGCATGTTGCCCAAGGCCCTCGCTGCTTACTTCCGCCGCCCTGTAATTTTCCTAATTTCCTAATTTTTTTTGCAGTCCGGGGCGTTTGTTACGCCCTCCATTGCCAACGTCGTTCTTTAAGGTTTAACGTTATCGGATCTTCAACTTTTAAACCCGGCTTCTTTGCCCCGGCCCGACGGCGGATCAGTGGCGGAACCCTGAACAAATCTCGGGCAGCACCCCACCACTCGCGTTTCCGAGTACCGGGTAAAGACTTCCAAATGGGCGAGAACACGCAGGAAGAGGCCCCGTTTCCTCTTACCGATGTGGATAGATGGGTCCTGTCACAGACGGACGAGGAGTTCACATATCACACTTGGGACGAGCTGTGCCAAATAATTCGTACGACGACATGTTTCCATTCTATGTTACCAATCTGCCCGTAGGTATAGACGCTCACAGACAGCAGAAAATAACCGGCTCTCCGTCCTCAAGAGGAAGCCGTCCGATCTCCGGCGGTACATGAAGTGGACTGCTGACACCAAGGCCGAGTATGGGGGCATCACCAATTTCCTCATCGCCCACCGCCTTCCTAAAGCCTGGGGTTCGCCGCCTTTCGAGCCGGCCTCCAACACGCCGTTTGCAGACCCGTCGGATTACCGTGTATTGATCAACGACTGGCCGTACGGCTTTGTGCCGGGGATCACCCACATCGTCGTGTGGTCTCGCACCCCCATCGCGACAGACAACACTGTCGGCGACATGACCCCTGACAGCAAGAGGACGGTGGCCGAGTTCATTAAGCGGTATTTTATTGATAGCCTCGGGACGGGTGGAGAGGACAGGGTGATATGGTTCAAGAATTGGGTGGCTCTACAGAGCGTCCGAACAGTCGATCATGTCCATGTCCTTGTGAGAGATGTTGAGCCGGCTGTGCTTCAGGCGTGGACGGAGGAGCTTGAATGCCATAGGGCGTAGTAATTGACGATTGACGCGTTTGGCGTAGCAAGGGGCGGGCTGCTTAGGAATGCTAGAATTATGCTGCGCGCCGCTGCTTCCGGTTGCCTGCGGCAGCCGGGGCCCCAGCGTTCGCGTTGCCCCCCATCTGGGCCATCTGTTTGGCGGCACCCATCATGCCGAAGGCCTTGTAGCCGCCATAGGCGGGAACCACGAGCCAAAAGAACCATGCCCAGTTTCCGAAGAAGGCCACCAGAATAGCCGCCGCCCAGGTCACCCAGACGACATCGAACATGTAGTCGGTCAGCCCGGGTGCCGCAAGGTCCTCGCCGGAGGATTTGAGAGCCTTTGTGTCGGGATCATAGCTGGGACGTCCAGTCCTCTCCAAGGTGATTTGGCACAAGAAGCTGGGGAGGGAGAGGAGGAACCAAAGCAGCAGCGAGCGCGACCTGAAGACAAAGTGCAGCAACAGGAAGAGACCATTGACGATGACCGATCCGATGTGAAGGTTATTGAGAGCTGCCGTGTTCGATTTGGCCCGGTCTTTGCGTGCCTTTTGAGCCATGTTGCGTGGCAAATTGGGTTTGGTGGTGACGACAGGTCGGTGATGTGGTCTCAAACGCTGTTTCTTGTGAGCGGATGATGAGAACAGCACGCTGGCAACTGCAGTTTCAAGGTCCTTGTCGCTCCTTGGTGCTTGGCGCGAGTTCGTTAAATGCTACTCTGTCGTCTAGCCCCACATACCTAACGCGACCAGTATCGAACACCACCAGCCACCGTCATCATGTTTGGTTGTTATCCCCGATATTTCGATTAACGGAGATCCTCCGAAAATCTCTCAGGACAAGCAGCAGAGTGTAGATTTATTGTGTTGAAAGAAAACCACCGAAATATTGCCGTTGTTGGTCTTAAAAACTCTTTCACATGGTGTTAGGTCATCGCTCAAGGTGTGGCTGGCGAAGCAAATGAGTTGGGCCATCTCCCCCCGTTGGTTCGCTCGGCAGGCTGCACCAGCCCCATCGTTAAACGCTTGTCCAATCAAGCGCCTGCTGCCGCCGCCCACCACAACAACGCAGGACCAGGGCAGAGCAACGCCGCCATTGACGCCTTGACAGCTTCCCGACAAGTGCACAACACCAGCCTTCGCTTGGCTAGGATTCCAGGGGCTGGCTATTGTCAACCACGCACAATCGCGACTTCTTATATTGTTTTACTCTTGGGAAGTCATGTTTCCGGAACTCGGAGAAACCTGAGCATCAGCCTTGCTGGCCCGCACCCATCCACCTCCGTCGTTGCCATTGTTTTTTCGCTTCCGCTGTTTTCGGCTTCAGTGGCTCGAGATCCTGTTGTTCTCGAGACGTCTAGCTGACAATTCAACACCCTGCCTTGCAGCAACCCGTCGCGCCATCATCAGCATCCCATAAACGCTGCGAGGGCCATTCCCGCCATAATTTTTGAATTTAATACAGCAGTTGCATCGACCATTCTTCCCGCCCGCTCCGACGACAGCCCCTCGCTGGAATAGGTTCACCAAGGGACCAACAAAATAAGCGACCTGAGAATTCGAGCCCCCCGGTCCCACTGCCAGGCAACCCACCTCGCGCTGAACCCGTCCCATGCGGAACAGGCGCGCGCAGCTCACGTCGACAGCCGGCTTGCGCGACTCCATGGAGCATCCTCCTTGGTAGCAACTGGATCATCGAGTCGCACGCCAACCCGGTGCACCCCCCGTGTCCGCTGCGAGATGGCACCGACCAGCGCGGCGATTGCTGGCTTGCTGAAGCAAACCGTATACTATCACCTCGACAACCTCGCCCACCGTAATGCTCTCTTCTTTGCCGAAAGGTTACATGCTCACGATCAGCGGTCCCCCGAGTCCTCATACCTCCTCGCCCTCTCTCATCTTCGCCTCGGCGACTCCCGATCCGCATACGAAGTCAGCAAGCCGTCAGGATGTCGAGGGGTTCATCTGGGATGCACCTTCGTATTCGCACAGTCCTGTTTGGACCTGGAACGGTACAAGGATGGGATCACAGCGTTAGAGAAGGCCCGGCCGTCCTGGGCGGCCAAGTGTAGCATAGGGAGGCACACGACTTCAACCCGGGCTCCATACCCCGATGCGGCAGCAGTGAGCTGCCTCCTAGGAAAGCTGTACCGGGGATATGATGACAAAAAGCGAGCGGTTTCTTGTTTTGAGGACGCGCTAAGAGCCAATCCCTTCATGTGGGATGCATTTACCATCCTCTGCGATATGGGCGTCAATGTCATGGTGCCGAATATTTTCAAGCTTAACGACGGTTTCGCTCGCAGCTTCGACCAGGATCCAGGTGTGGCTAACATCGACTCCAGCGGAGGACCTCCGGATCCGTTACAAAGGAAAACAGGCATACAGGGCGTCAACCACGACAGTGACCCCTTTGAGGGTCATCGCTCTACTGCTTTTCAGGACGTTTCGAGCAACAATATGCTCTTTGTCGACCCTGGCGAGAATGACTTGTCGACAAGGCCAACAGCCGCTCAGTCAAGATACGCAGCAAGCAAGCACGGGTCCGAGGGGATGGAAACGCCGACCGGCTCCGCGGTTGTTCCCGAAACGCAGCAACCTCGCATCGCCTTTCCTTTAGAACCCCCATTAGCTCCGACTCGCCGAACGCGGGTAACACACGCCTCAGAACCCGCTTTTCTGGATGCTCCGCCGAAGATGAGCTACCGGTTAGGTTCTAGAAAGAGGGACAAGATCCAAGATCAGATGTCGGAACCCCCAGAACCAACCATGAGAGGACCCGCTCTTTCCCAGTCAATCACAGAAAGGAAACGCACAGCATCAGGACACCCCGTCCAGGCGCGGCCTACGAACGGCGAGGAACCAAGGAGGAGCGCTAGGTTAAACGTGGCCCCAAGAACAACGTCAAGGACGAATATGAATATATCCACGACCGGCACAACCGCCACCCGCGAGTTGAAGAAGGCTAGGCCCCCCATCTCCAGGATTGGGCGCCCAGGGTCAAGTGGGACCAGCGTCGGTCGGGTTGTCAGTGGGAACCGGAAACCCCTGGAAGAGAATACTATGGATATTGACGAACCGCCGCGGATCAAGGAGCTGCCTGTGGCGCAGATCCCGCCACCTAAAGCAGCAGAGCCTGAGCCGGTGAAGGCAGACGAAGGCCTGAAATGGATCCTAGACTTCTTGAAAAAGATCGCGTCTGGGTATCGCCTCTCCTCGCAGTTTCGGTGTCAAGAAGCACTGGCTGCTTTCTCATCGCTCCCCCGAAGCCATCAGGACACGCCATGGGTGTTGGCACGGGTAGCAAAAGCCCACTATGAGTTGGCTAATTATGCAGATGCAGAACGGATCTTCAGGCGCCTCCGCACGCTCGCCCCGACGCGGCACGAGGACATGGAGTTCTACTCGACCGTTCTTTGGCAGCTTAGGAAAGGGACCGAGCTTTCGTTTCTCGCGCATGAGCTGACCGACATGGACTGGGACTCGCCGCAAGCGTGGTGCGTGATGGGGAACGCTTTTTCTCTGGATTGCGACCACGAGCAGGCGTTGCAGTGCTTCAAGCGAGCCATCCATCTTCAGCCGAATTTCTCATACGCCTACACCTTGCAGGGCCACGAACACGTGGAGAACGAAGAATATGACAAGGCCTTGGTTTCGTATCGACGCGCGGTTGCTGCCGACAAGCGCCACTACAACGCCTATTACGGCATCGGGAAGGTCTATGAAAAGCTGGGCAACTACGACAAGGCCCTGAGCCATTACCACGCCGCGTTGGTGATTCACCCCGCCCATGCCGTTTTAATTTGCTGCTTGGGCACGGTGTTGCAGAGACAGAAGCAGATCGTACAAGCTCTTCCTTATTTTATCAAAGCAGTCGAGCTGGCGCCTCGGGCGCCTGAGATGCGAAGCAAAAAGGCCGGGGCATTGCTAGCCACCGGGCAGCTGGAGGAAGCGAAGAGGGAGCTTATGATTTTGAGGGATGTTGCCCCGAATAACGCCCAGGTTCACTTTCTGCTCGCCAAACTCGCCAAGACAGTCGGGGACAAGAGGACGGCCGTGCGTCATTTTACCATAGCCTTGAGCTTGGATCCAAAGGTACAGCCAGCCAAGTCCGGAGCGTTCGGGGTGACAAATCGCTAACCTCATCTGCCAGGCGAGCGGGGAGATCAAAAACGAGATCGGCGGGCTCGAGGACGATGACTGTTTGGACGACTCCATGATGCATTAGTGCTCATGATCGACGTTCCAACGCGACATTAATCCTACGATTTCCTACGACCCTGAACGAACGTGCCATGATTCGGGCGGGCATTCCGCTTGTGCTGGGAGGCGCCGTGCTTTACACTCGGCGCGCTTGGGGGAGGTTGCGAGTGCTCCTTTTGGACGGTCGTTCTTTTCTTTCGCAGCAAGGGCATCATTCTATAGCATGCATGGCAAAGGCGTTCCTGGAGAGTATCGAACATGCTTTTCTTAGTGTTGTGCCCACCGTGGTGGACTGGGCTGGAGTTTTGTATGAGTACCTAAGCATCGCAATGGCCGACATGTATAGTACGGAGTTGGCGGGCGTCATCACGGGAGGGCCAGGTTGGAGACCTCAACACAGCGGGACAAAAGGGGCAAATACAGGGACCGGGTCTGAGTTAGCTCTGGACCTTGACTCCTTTCGCACATTCATTCCTAGAGCACCGCCATCGATGTGAAGGCATGACACCTAAAGTTAAGCGTAACCTTAACCTCCTAGTACTAGCAGGTATTAATTTGACCAAACAAGCGCGAGACCCTGAGAGTTATTGATATTGGAGATCCGGATCGTTAGGGTTCGAGACCAGCCTCACTGACCTCGAAAAGTATAAGAAGGCTGGCATCTCCAGTTTTCTGGCTCAGTTTTCAGAAACGCGTCAAAGGCTTCATTCATTCAATCAAGCGAGGCGCGAGAGAGCTGAGACCAAACCGTAAAATCAGCAAGGGGGAGGGGCTGATACTTGGCAGCGGGCGCTTGGACCATGAAATGTGGGGTTGATTCTCCAATTCGCAGTGCCGCAGCACAACAAAGTGACCGAAACACGCCCATTTTGCAGCGCTTTCTTAGCCAAAATTTGGAGCTCCAAAACGCGCATTAAAACGCTCCCATTTTTCAAGGAAAGAACCAACAATCCACATCCGAAACAGGACTAGTGCCCACTCGCCTTGAATCAGCTGCGCCTGTCTGATTCTGCCGCCCGCACCCAAGACTATTTAACTTATCGTCCTCTCACCCCCCCAGCTTTTCCAAAACACTACTCATTTTACCAATTGCGTGGGTTTAGTCAATCGTCAACGGCATCAACTTTCCATCGATTTTATCGGCCCAAATCATTCTACCCATCTCCATCAACCCAATACATTCATCAACATGACTGGACGTAAGTTTTACCATTTCTATAACGTCGCCGTCGTTGTCGCTGGCAATGCACGCTTGGTTCATGGTTTCCGACATGGGTGATGCTGGAAGTGGTGGTGGGGGCTACGCGTTCCACGAACGCGTGTTTACACTTACCCACTAACCATCATCGCGTTTGTCTACCGAAACGCCGCATGAGCTC